AGGGATTAACAGCAGGGATTAACACCAGACAACCAAGCAGAAAAAAGAACTACCAAGGAGAAAACCGCACTCCCACCAACACTGGTGGGCAAGTTATTGTATATAAACAGGGAGCAACCCCCGCCCCCACTAGCACCAATGATGTTACCTAGTCGGGCAATGAAACGTCTGCAAGCAAACCATCAAGCTCAGAGAGCACCAAGGATTCCACATTACCCTGCTCATTGTATAGCCTTTCTGTGCTGAAAATAGTAATACCAACTACAATACCAATGATTATATAGTCATTAATATTAATGGTGGCCATTTAAAGCTTTTCTTTTATGTTTTCTTTTTACTGTTACCCTTTGTACTTAGTGATTTAAGTTGTGTTAGCCGCCCAGAGTTGCTGTTGTAAAATGGATGGCCATATGCATTGAATAAAACCAATACATAAATAATGATTTTATTAATATTAGGAGGAGCAGGAGGATTGAACTGTGGTCCACTGCTGCTGAAGGTTGCCCACCAATGACATATAATTAGCAGAATAAAATCTAAGAAAACAAAGACCTCAATCAATGGTCCACAATGTGCATGATTTACATCAATTGCAAAATGCAGTTTTTTCCTCTTGCGGAATTTGGGTTATCTTGACATACTGTTTTGCTTCATTTGGAGTGGAATATATAGACCCAGTATCAGGAGGACATTATCTAAGAAGCCTTTCTAAAGAATTCTCTCTGGCCTCTCAGACCATCAGAACAGCTTTCAAGATAGGAGGATCAACAGATGTTTAAGACACATATCTACGGCCAGAAACTCCCCTCCACCCACCTCAACTCATGTTCTCAACAAGAAAACTCACGGTCATAGTGTTGTAAGGCTGTTGAAATTGGGGGATTCTTGAGATATTTATAATATATTTGGAGTCTACAAACCACTTGATAATTCTTAGGCTGTGAGCCTCTCAGAGACAGAGATGATGATGATTCACTGTAAATTGATCTGGGCCTATGGGATTGTATATGATGTAAAGAAATTACATGAACTGTTTTACGAGGCCCCAGTCTTAAATACCACAAGAAACAAAGGAATAAAATAGCTTCCTACTATCCCAATCACAATTATTGTCTACTTATTAACAGATTTATTAATCTCCTTCTAGGATTAAAAGTTCTCAAATAGAACAGAATAAAACAATAAAAACCACTGTCTTAAAATATATTCATTCTAAATTTTTAATCCACATTTAAATTGATGAAATAAATATTCTTATTTATATCTATCCTTTCCACTGCTTCTCATAGCTGTTTATCAGAGCTATCTATCATCAAAAACGTATCCATGTACTTTATGTACAGTTAACGATCCATGAAATACATTTTAATGATAGGTTTCCAAAAGCTGGATGAGTCTTATATAAGCATCCAGCAGTGTATTTCTGATACAAGAGGCATGGTGATATTCAAATAAAATGTATCATTGGATAAGGAAGAAAAGCAATTAATGTATAGAAAAACATATGCACAGACAGGTTTAATCAAATGAAGTTTCTGATAAGCAGATTCCAATTAATTACCTTTAGCATCCGAATCTCTCGAAGTGCAATTTTTTTAATAACAGGATCATCCTCAGATTCCAGGAACTTTTTGATAGCAACGATCTGCCCCGTGTCCTTGTTCCGGCACTTGAAAACAACTCCATAGGAGCCTTCCCCAATCTTACTGATCTTTTCATATTTCTCCATTGCTAACAGAAAAGAATCTCTGGAGATGTTATCCACTGTCAGTGAGACCTGGTGAGTAAAATATTTCCTTGAGTATCTGAATGATTCAAAAGATGCAAGAGACCACTATCATTTTAAACCTGTAAAAAATTTTTAAAATATAGTTGCAGCCACACTTAGCATCTACAGAATCCATGGAAGATAACCACACCACACTGATTCTTTAATGGACCAGGACTCAGAATCTATATTTACCTTGTTTTGTTTTGCAGAATGGGATAGTCTTTGGTACCCCCAAATAGTCCAGCAAGTCATGGGGAGAGGTTGGAGTTTAAAAAGAATGAGACTTCTTTTTAACAGGCTTCATCACTGTCGCTTGTAATGCATTGTTATTTACCCTACAGCACTGGGCAAGCTCCCAAAACCTCTTGCCAGAAAAAGTTAAATGGGGCTTAATGGGGGAAGAAGCCCCCCCCCCCCCAGTTCCACTGAAATGAACTGGAATGACTGAAATTACAGTGTGGTTTGTGGTGAAAAGGTTTCTATTTAATACGGCACTGCCCACATTTCAGTGGATTTCCAAAACCACCAAATGTATGATGACTTAGTGTGATGTATAAACTGACCCTTCCAAGTTAATTTTTTTCACATTGTTAATTAGCCATTACTCTATATTGATAGGACCTAGTCAACCTTGGATGACCATGAAAAAATAAAGCAGAGTTAGGTATGAATGGAAGACCTGCAGGAAAGCCTAGGGCAGCAAACTGGACTACAAAGCTGAAGAAATCAGCCAGGAGAACTCAGTAGCAAACTACTTCTGTAGATGTTGCAAAGACAACTAACATGGACATATTAATGTAGACCCCATGGGTCAAGCATGATTCGAGGAAGCCTTTACCTTTCTGATAATTAGACTTATCTCTATAGTATTTATAATCTCATAGAACATCCTGTAGATTTGGGACCTGGATATCTTTTTCTATAAGTGGGTGCCCATCAGCTAAAATCTGCAAAAGATGCTGCCTTGAAGTTGCTCAATTCACAATCCAATGATCCGAACAAAGGCATTTCCAATACAAAATCTCCATTGCAGAATCTGTTCCTATTTGGTTACAGTTGACACTGAGCTTTTTAAGATGCACCTTTTCAGACTTTCAGTTAAACTGAAACCACAGTACTTTTCTGTTTCATATTTAGTAGTGTTAAATTAACACTAAATTAAATATTATAGACATTTAAAATTTTTAAGATGATGTTGACTTTAAACTTAATTGTTTGCAATGGCTTATAATCCATTTTGAGATTGTATTTAATTATGAAAATGGTGGGGTAGAAATGTTTTCAACTGGAAGGTCAGGATAAAGCTTCCTAGCTCGGCCACAGAACATATCAAATAGCCTTGGGAAAGTCATGACTAGCTTTCTTAACACAATACATTTCTAGTTGTAATTCCTACCATCCATTCCTCTGCTTCCTGAACATTTCCAGCAACCCTTGTCCCTGTTGCCCCCCAGACCTGGAACTCCAACTTCTACTCAGACACTTTCTTCTTCCTTCATCACATTTCACCTTAAGAGCCAAGATTTTTCAGTTTTAAAAAATAATCTATGTATTAACTTTTTGGATTCCTGCCACAACAACATAAAGATACCTGGTTGTATTTATGCATTCTCTCCCTATCCTACTTTCTTCTTCCCCATGTTCTCTTCACCTCCATTCCTCTTTTCAAACCTGATCATCTCTACGTTCAGTTGAATTTAGACCGTAAGCTCCTTAGAGCAAGGAACTTCTTTTCAAGTTTATGTTATTCTATAATGCTTCTGGGTCTCCAACGTGATGCCTGAGGGCTCTAATGTGCCCCTGGATGCCTGCCAGGCTCCCTGCCCCATCAAAGAATTTTTCTTATAAAGTCTTTTAACTCAAACAGAGATGTGAGCATGCTGCAAAGCAAATAGTGTTATCTTCCTTTAAAGCAAATAGTGTTATCTTCCTTTACCAATACATCTCTGGGCCCCACACAGGCATTCGTAGAAAATGAAAACGGTTGGGGACTGCAGGCTAGTGTTTTGATTGAAGCATGCCTATTTGCCCCTCACCCCCAGGACAAAGATATACTGAAGTGGGATCATTCTGAAGGACAAGAGGGGCTGACCAGGACCAGCCTCATCAGCTTCCTTTGTGGCAGACTGATGTTTTGTGATGATGACGACACCACTATTGCAAGCATGCAACCCTCCTAACAACAATTTTGCATGAGTGTCCTACACTCAAGGTGCCCCCTGGTCTAAAAAAGCAGAGAGCCTTTGCTATAAAAGCTGTACAGTGGTAGCATTAGTCTGTGAATTTAGAAACACTGGGAAGAAAAGGAGGGCCAGGACTGCAAGGCACTCTATGCACCAACGTGGTGGATACCAGCGCCTCTAGTGCAATACGAAACCCGAGCGCTGGAAGTCTCCAGCAGCTTCTGTGTCTTCAGACCACTTTCCTCATGCAAAAGGCCCATCTAGAAATTAAATTTTAATTCAGCACCTTTAGGCAAAGGCAGGTTGCCAGGGAGGGTGCAGCCAGCTGGGCAAGCCCTTCAGCAGCAAAACACACTGGCCTCTCTGCGTAAGGAAGGAAGGACGGGGGCGGGTGATGGACTGGGCTCCAGTTTTGCCTTCGCTTGCCTGCAAAAGAAACTCCCTGAGACTAATGGTGCCAGCAAGCGGGCGAGAAGGGCACAGCGGGGACAGGCACTGAGAGGGGGCAAGAGGGCACAAGGGGAAGCCCCCTCCTCCCTCACCAGTCCAACAGCCCCTTGGTGGTGTTTCCCTCACACCTGCAAGCAGCCCTTTTGGGATAAGGAGATGCCAGGCTCCAGCACACCCTGGAAGCACTGCCTGGCATTCAGAGGGAGGCCAGGGGCACAGGCAAATGTTGCTGTCTCAGAGGCAATTCAGACGCCTTTCTTTTCGCAGCAAGAAGAAGCCCATTTGAGGGACCAGGTACGCCCCCTTCCTTCTGCAACGGACTAGTCCCTAAAGGGCCCTCTGCACATGCTCAGAAGTACCCTCCCCTTCATTAGCTCTACAAGCCTATAGGGACGTATCTAATAGTCGACAGAAACACACGCCCTTACCAATTCGCGGCCCAGAAGGGACTCCGCAGCCTTCCTCGATCAAAGCGCACTTTGCCTGTGCTCAGAGACCCGCTGCCCTGCGCCTGGCGGGACAGCACTCCCTTCAGCAGTTCTCACCCTCGGTGCGGGGCTTCGCTTTCATTCCGCCCAGCCGTCGGGCGATGGCTCTCGGCAGGCGCAAACGCCCCGCTGCTGCCGGCTGCCGCGGGTGTGCAGATGCGGCTCCCGCCGCGACTC